ATCGAGTTCCGCTGTACATATTTACATACGTTTGCGATAATGCCCCTCGTGACAAGATTCAATTATGCGAATTGTTCGTACAAATGAACAGCGTACACTTCTTGACATACCTACGATACTTGTTCTCACATATCAACGCGAACGAATGCAACGCAAAAGTGCCACAAAACTATTTCCCTAAGAAGCATCCGATTAACTCAAATCTTGTTGCTTTCGTTATTCTAGTTAAATTGCTCGAAATAAATGAAGATATTTTATACGAAACGTATTTTTTATGCAAAAATAAGACGAACATGTATCTAATATTTTTACTTTTCTCTAAATATTCCATAATAACACAAATTAACAAAATTAATATTACTAATAATCAATTTAATTCGTTTGTGGCGACTGTTTTATTACTTGTCTACTTTTACTTTAAGTTTGTTAAATTGGAATTCAAGAAGTAGACAATATATTTGATTTAAATTCAAAATACGCCTAACACAAGTTCTGACAATTATATTAGAGAAGAAAGATCTGTGCAATTAATACTCGCTTAATCTTCGGGAATTTTCCTGAGGAAATACCTTTAGCGCAAATCGAAACGTTTCGGGTACGGATTGGCGTGACTGCAGTCGTCGTTATCGCTACCTTAAACGCTCTTTCTCCATTTCGCAGTGAAGATTCATGAACAGAAGAGATATCTCGCGAAATGCGGCATATAAGACTTTATGATAATGAGATATGCTTGCGCGCAAGCGCAATTCACTCGTGTTTCTATTGAAAATCGTGTGCTTACGCTTACGCAACCGCACTATACAATGCGACTCGCGTACTCATTACAACCCAATAAAACTTTCCGAATTATGCTATGATAACTACAAATCTTATCTGAATCAAGCGAATCGAAATTTAATTGATTTATCTTGATAACTTTTTATCTTGATTTATCGAGAAATTCTGGCAAACAACTATAGGCAATTTGATAATCAAATTAATTATGATTGTTATCTCAATACAAACAAAATATACAAAAAGAGGACATATTAAATATGCACAGATAAGATGTTTTCTATTATATATTTTATCTGTATTTATGAAGCATTTAATTTGAGAGAGTCGAGTAAAAACTGTTTGACTTAAAAAGATTGAGAACAAACCAGAAATTGAAAGACACATGTTTTTCAAGTGGTATGAATACGAGGAGAATAATGGATACATTTAACTAATTGCTAATTAGGGTAATTGGGCTAATTAAGTATGAAAAAACTTTAAATCCATATGCAAAATTAATAGATTTTTTTCAAAACTGTATTTTGTACGGACGACGACTACACTCATAGAAAGTCAAAAACATCTTTAGTTGTTTTCTTCAAACAATTGTACGGGAGGCAATTAGCACAGTCGCGAAAGACTTTTGTCCTGTCTTCCCCCCTCATTACTTATATTTTGAACATTATTAGTCCGCACTAATTGATTTCAAAATACTGTTCAAAACTTGGCACAGTAAACAAAAAGCTTTAGCGACGCAGAGCTTATTTTCTTTTTTTAAGAAGAACTGTCTATTATCTTACTACTTTTGAGAATGGCTCTCTTACATATCTATCTATTTGTATAAAAATAGATTTATTTTAATCGATTAATTGCCCGTAGAAAGAAAGCTTTCGCGTTTACACATGCATTCAGAATGAAATTCTTATCAGATTAAACTTGCATTACAATAATTATATTTCGAATGCAAACATGTGCGTGAGTATATGAGTATATCGTAGGCGTACGTGTGCGTGGTGATGTAAGAGAACGGAAGCAATCGCGAGATAGCAAGCGCAGGCAGTAAAAATCTCTGGTCACTAGAGGAAGGTTCCGCTCCTTATCGCCAACATTGCATGCCGAGCACCAAATTATATAATGTCGCCGTTGGTAAACAGTGATTATTACCACATTCCCGTGGAATGGTCAAAATTTCGCTACGTGTTCGCATTCGAACCCAAGCTCCCACGAAAATGGACGGCGTTCTTAAGATTTATTATTATTATCAGACAAGCAAACAAATTTTGTTCGCGTAATAAGCGTAATTAGATAAAACGCGAAACATCGTAATTCTTCCATTGGAGAAACGAAAGGGTCTGAAAAGTAAAATTAATGTGGTTCGGTACTAGTGTTTCTCTTCTTGCATGCGTATCTTTAAAAAATAGAAATGGCGTAGCGAATGGAAAAATCCATTCCGTTAAATAATATCAAAATGTTACATAAAGGAAACGAGTTACGTATCTTTACTTTACATGGAAGAAAATTTTAATTTAGACCAAATCATAAAATATTTTAGAGTTTTAGAATTTACATTCTTAAGGTGAAATCTGTTTAGTGGAAAATTCATTGTTAGATCGTGTAATCGCCGCGAGAAAAGACTTGTGATTGAATTTGAACGTTGCAAACCTGCTATCTCGCATTAGAATCCTATCTCGTAATAGGGAACTTCCCTCTATATTTCCATCGACACATTCTATCATGCAGCGTGTGACAATTCTAAACGTCTTCATTAACAAATTGACATCCTTAGATAATAATTGACGCTCCGAACGATTCAATTTTGCCACGACTCTTTCTCTACGGTCTTACGATTTAGGGATACGTGCCGTCGTTGCTTCGTAAACATATTTATCACTTTATGAGATAGATCAGATCGATAAAATATTACGGATCGCTCGTTTATTAATATGCCAACGTATATTACGCGACTTTATCGTCGCAACGTTTCATCGATTATCGTATTTTCCATTCGAGTTCTTCTCCGTCGAGCACTTTTCGATTTCAGGATCCGCCACACTTCACCGCGGACATCGATTACGCGTGTAAAATGCGCGACGTTATAAATTTTCTCAGTATAATTACGTACCGCTAAAGTTTTTGTCAGGCTTCGTTTTCAACCATCCGTGTCGATGGAACAGAAATTTTACATGAATGCAATTTTTCACATCGTTACTCCAAATCGCTCTAATTGTGAGCATGCGACGATTTTATACTTTCCGACTGCAAGCCTTTACTATTTTTCTTTTCCACTTGATTATGATTCGATCTATGGCATGAATACGAATGGTTCTACGTAACTCGCGCGAATGCAACGTCACATAATAGGGTATATCGGACATATCATGGCAAACAGTGCATGCGATTATTACGAATCAATCGTTATAAGAACACGAACTCGCGCAACGATACCTGACGGGCATTGTAATCGTTTGCGTAAATAATGTACAACAATAATTACAGATTCGCCGATAAATATTCTTCGCGTGGACTTTATTACGTTCATTATATCTATCGATTAGACGTTTCTCTCGCAAATTACTCGTTATTATCTGGAAATGCTTCTTTCACATCGCGCGCGACAATGTGACATTTAGAGACGACTTAATAATTTATGAAAACCCATTTTTACCTTCGAGTTCTTTGTAAGTGTTAAAAAAAACGTCGCGTAATAATTATTTAGAGTTAAAAAAATAAGAAATAGACGGAATTTGCCATTTTCCTAGTGTACGGTGTCTTAAAGTAGGGCGTATTTTTGTTTCGATGAAATTCGAAAATTCTAAAACCATTATACGTAAAGTGCCACACGTAAGTTGTTTAATTGCTCAAGAAAATTTGACATTTATAGAAACGTTTACAAAAAATATACTTGGCGCGAGACGTCACCGCTCTTTCTTTCGGTGATTTATTAGCCTTAAAGCGAAATTATTAAAATTCCAAATTTCATTCGACCTCAACTGGCCACATTTATTAATTGATCGACCAATACAGAAAATTTATTGCGAAAAATATTACCTCAGCCAGGGTTTGAACCTCGATTTCCCTACTCTCTAGGCGGGCGTCTCACTAATCCGACCACTGAGGCATGTAACTAATTTGAAGAGACTAATCAGAAATCATTAAGTCTAATTATTAGAGGCAAGTCCTCTGTTACGAGATAGGATTCTGATATGAGATAGTAGGTTTTCAACGTCCACAGTCAATCACAAATCTTTTTTCGCAACGATTACACGAGCTAACAATCAATTTTCCACCAAATAAATTTCACTCCAAGGGCAACAAATTCATAATGGAACCAACAGATGATGCCTATTAGTTTAGCAGAAACCCCGCTATCCCATATTAAGATCCTATTTTATAATAGGGGACTTTCCTCTATTCAAATTAAGGCTGTGCATGGAATTTATAAATTGATATTCTTATCACGTCTTCAATAAGATGTAGGCTAAACAGATTTCGTTCCGAGGGCAATAAATTGATGGTGGAACCAACATATGACGTCTAATAATTTAACAGAAACCTCGCTATCTCGAGCCTACCTCATAATAGGGCACTTCCTCTATTTATTATAATTTTTATTTCCTTTGAGACAAAATTGTTTCGAAAAATCGATCGTCTCGTCTTTCACAACAATTTGAAACAACATCGAGAGTCACGACGTAACTGAAGTCGTAACAGGTTCCACCGTATTACTCAATTGTCAACTAATTGGAGTGCTTTTTATTTAACAAATAAGTTATTCAGTCGGACTGGTTAAGCGAGTCAGAATGACACAAATGCCGATTGTAATCAGTTGTAAGCCCCGGAGGGCCCTGGCGGCCGTTCTTATTAGCATCACAAATCACCCGCGGTCAAGATGATTGTCGCGTCCAGGGGAAGAACCCAGCCGCGCGCGGGGAATATCGATATCTGGACGAGAGGTCGGGCGCGGGTGACTCGAGAACGCGTGGCGATTCGGTGCGGCGCACCGGGGTATAAGGCAGCGGTGGATGGCGCAAAAGTAAATTTGCGATTGTCGGAGCAGTTCGCGGCCGCAGGTGAGCGAGCGAACGACCCGCTGCTCGAGAGAGAGTCGGTGACTCGTGCGACGCTCGGACGCGGACACCCGATCGCGGACCCGCCGCGTTCTGCCGAAACGGATCCACGTAGTGCACAGTAGCGCGCGCGAGAGAGCGGCAGGTCAGACGAAGAAGAGGAGCATCGGGAAGAGAAGAGCCCGCGGGCCCGCGAGCCGGACGAGCAGTAAACGCGCGCGTCGTCGCGGACGATGCGTCGCGCCGGACCTCCTCGCGCTCCCGCCGAGTCGACGATGAACCCGGACCGTCGTCGAGGAGCCGAGCCTCGTCGCCGCGCGTGATACCACGGACGCAACTCGCAGGGGTGAGTAGTACTCGTCGCGGTCGGACACGGAGAAGTGACACGAATCGGATCGGTAGGACGAAGGGCGAAACGAATTTCAAATCGCCGACGCACGACGGTGGAAAGGCGAGCGTCGGATCCTCGCGTTTTAGCACGGCGGATGAATGAGAAGTAACGTGTACAATTGAATGCAAAAGAATTAAATTTAAACCAAACTAAAATAGTTTTCGAAACACGAGGCGCGAGCAAGCTTTCCGTTTAACTGCGTTTACGTTACATTGGCGCGGCACGCCGAAGGTTAATTGATAACGAAAACGCTCGGATATCGCCGGGAAGTCGGACGGCACACTTTGCGACGAGAGCGAAAGAGAGACATCGATGCCGCTTTGCGCGTCATTACGTTTATGCAAACTATATGCGGGAGAGGATCAATCGCTGAAATCGCGCCAGAGAAAGCATCATCCGCCTTTTATGTAGGATTATAGGTCTTCTAATAAACTTTCGCACGCGCTCGTTCACGTGCGGCGACTGCGAACGAGCGAGGTGAGCGAGCAGAGCGCGAATTCACCGCGGCGTTTCACGCGCGAAGGGACGGAACCTCGCAAATAAACAAATAAGGCATACGCGTTTCATTAATGTCTGTGTCCACGATGCCAGAACTTGGACCAAGTTCCAGTTTTGAGAAATGTGTAGCCCAATCAACTTGCAGCCTTTGTGGAATAGCTGCAACTTGATTGGCTACACATTTCTCGGAGCTAGAATTTCGACCAAGCCTCTAGACACGCGTCTCTCCTGCAAGAAAAGTGTTGAAGTATCCACCGGGTGCTTTTGACACCGACGTCTTAAATTATCCGGAAATAAAGGATATTTTATTGACGTGGATTAAGTTCCTGTATTTCTTTATATTCTTCTGGAAAGAAGTTTGAACCGATTACTTCACGCAGGTGCAGACGGGATTGTTCTTAAAATACGCGGAAATGTAGTCTATTGTGCCTAATCGCTATTGCATTCGATCCTTCGCACGCATTGCATTTTCCTCGAGAGATAAAATCAAAATCGTAGAATTCCCCTTTGGAAGTTTCGCGAACGTCGTTATTAGTCGGCTCCATTTGCGAGCGGGAGCCTTGACCAAAGTGATATTTTTTCAGTTACGGTGTCTGACGATATCGTAGGTAAAAACCGCTGATAGACCTCCGAAACACTTCCTCGTGCTGCAATCGCGCTCAGAATATCTGCATGTGCACTACTAATCCTATTGTTATAACCGTATTTCTCAATGCATCGCTCTTCAAAACATTTCACGTGACGCTTCAATTTAGCACATATTTACGAGACGTTTAAAGAACGTTTAAAAATATTTACGACATCTAAAAGACCTCACTCAAAGATGTCCCGGCTCTTTGAAGTTTCTAGAGTATGTATAGAGAATGTTATAAAAATTTTCCGATATTTCTGAAAATTGAAGATACTTCAAGATCATCCTGAATTTTTTCCGGCAGATCTGACTATATCCCAATTTTCTTCCTTTTTAATGACAGATTATTTGATTAATGGGGAATTGATATTTTTTCTTGATGAAACTGTCAATAGGACATTTTGTGTCAACCTTTAGTGTCTTTATGACTAGCTCCACAAATTAGAATTCTGTTAAAATAAACCCTATTTGATTCCTAAAAGCTTATTTCTGTGAAAAAGCCTTCGTTAATCACTGAAGAATTGGTGCCTCCGACACTTTTGCAAAAATCTTCATATTTACATTTTTACCTTCTAACAATAAGTTGTCTATATAACAACATGATTGTTTTAATAGAAAATGATTGTCTGTCGATTCTGTAAAATCGATTTGCGATCTCTGTCATAGGAAATTAACAATGTTACACGCAAATAATCTCTTCTTACGATGCGTCGAATAAATAATATCTCAATTTGTAGTCAATCTCAAATTGTAGAATCGCATGAGCTCGAATAAGGAAGTGTCGCTTGTTTTGTAGTTAATTAGACATTAACGCATGGTAATTTAGTATTTTTGGTAGTGTCGGAAATAGCTCGGAGTTCCGAGCTTAAACTCGAAATTACGCTCGTCTGCCTACCACAAAGGCGTTCAAGGATTCCCAGGTGAACTACTCATTTCCTCGATTAACGCGAGGCAGTGATTCATCGACGATCCATTTAAAAACACGGACGGCAATAATTCGCCGCGACATTCTTTCGTCACGTGCGGAACGTTTGAGCGATGAATCGCGTTAATTAATCCGCGACAAGTAAGAGCAGTTTAATTCTTATAAGAAATTCCTTTCTTTCTATGGATCTTTCACGTTAAAAAATTTGTTAGGATGTTCTCAATCCGATGAAATACTGCTTGAAATGTAATAAAAAAGCGATTCAATTTTTTAACGAATTATTTATTACTATTATAATTCAGACAACTCACAATGAAAATATCATTACGTCATATATCTGCTCTTTTTGTACTTTGAACACAATTTATGTTTCTTAAGTAGATGACCCTATTTGAAAATCAATGGATTTAATATATTATCTGAGAGGAGTATAAGAATTAAATAAATGAAGAACGTAATTCTTAGTGTATAACATAGATTTTGCTACCACTTCAAAATCCATTAAATTACTAATGCAAGTATACAAATATATTATATACTTCTTCTTCCTCCTCGTGTATTAGGCTTCAAGCCTGTTTTATCCAGTTTATTCTAGTACTTTGAGCATTTGGTTTTACTATCTTCGGTAGGCTGCTAACTTTGCCGAAGAAAACCTCCAATCTGGAGGCTATATCCCTAAAGGGATGATACATGTAGCAGGATACTCTCGGTGATTGCCATTTCCCTTCGGGAGATTCCGAAAAAACCAGCGGCGTTCGGGGATTTCAACTCGGATCTTTTCGTTCATTGGTTTACTAAGCAGCGCACATTTGTGCGCCACACTCGCAGCACGTTATACATTTGTAGTAGAATAATTGCACAAACTTTGTTAATGAATGTGATTTTTAGTTTGTCATTACACGAGACACTTGTAATATTAAGTGTCACGTTTTCGAATAAATTTAAATAGTGTCGATCTTGTATTAATTTCCATAACTCAGTTCTAATACCGATTATTATCGATCGCCTAATCTCGTTGCTCAGCTTGTTATGCCGTTAGAAATGCTACGTAAAGATTATATATCGTTATAAAGTAAAATGAGACATAATTTGTGGCCATAAATGGTATTATTCTTTATGAAAAATTCAAGACTTTGGAATCCAAGTCAATTCATGGATGCCATTCTAGACGGGAAATGTGGAACGCGCAACAGCGAGGAAAAAACATCCCCTTTGCACCGTCGTGTCTTGTCCAAATATTTTTGTATCTAAACGGTTATTAAATGTGTTAATGACGAATAAATATATTATGATTATCTTTCGCTCGCGTATATGCGACAAATTTCGTCGTGAAGTAACGGTATTAGCGATCATCGATTTTTTTTCGTTATCAGCATTGGACTTTCACGTGGCAGTAATAACCATAGCTCTATCACTAACCTAATAAACTATGATCAATTAAGCTGAGATAATAATTTAATAACTAAAATAATCTGACGGATCGATTTAAGATAATTGAATAATTTCCATGCCTCTGATAGCATAGTAATATTTTATATTCATGGCTATAATATTCCGAATTTTACTTGAATATACATTTAAGCAACGTTTGTATTCTTTTACGAGTACATACGAAATATTCTCGCGAGGCATCGCGTGTATAATTTCACGATTAAAAATAGCGAAACATTAGTAAAAATGGCATTTAAATCTATAGTCTGAAAAAGTTACGAAGTATCCGAAATACCGGTTGAGAATGCAATGTGTTTATGTGTCGGATTTATTTATTTAATATTTGTAGATTATATTAAAGCGAAAAAGAAGTAGGACTGAAAGAAGGAATGTGAGGAAAAATTCGAAGAATTCGACGTCGTGAAATTACCATGTCGGTAGAAGTAATTAAATGCAAATAACATGGAATTTAAATTTAACCCAACTGCTTCAACGCGTATGATTTTCATAATTAGCACAGAATATATATAAATAAAATTTTATACGCGTTCGCGTCGGTTCAGAAAAAACTCGTTACATAGGTATACGTGACATTACTATAATAAGAATATATGCAAATGTGTCCTAACAATAGAAATTTTACCCAGAATACGATCCTGGCGCCAACTAAAATATGTATATATCTTATCGAGAAATCTGTGCAACGTAAGTGTAAAGATCATCTCTTCTTCTTTTTAATTATTTCACTTATCGCTATATCTTTGTATCGTTTCACGTGTCACGTGCTTAAAATTGCTGCAAACAAACTAGCGGCAATTGCACTTGTCCTTTTTTTTTGCAATACTTCCACTGATCGTAACATGCTTGATATCGCTTTACATAATATCGCATTATCTAATACGAGAGATAGACAATAATAAGAACGGCGTTTATTCGATTCAACGAAGGCATGGCTAATCGGAATATTTTTTAGTACGAAATTGATTATGTAAACGTCTCGCCACAAGTCTCCAAGATTCAACTCCGTGTGCAAGTTTCCTCGACAGAGACGCGATATTCCACGCGATATTGTATCCTGGATTCCGAGAAACATTACGTTACTGCTTGACGTACATGAAACTGCACCGGATGATATTATATTACACGCATAATTCGAATAATTTTCCAACGAGCGCGCTTTTTGACTTGTTATTGTAACATCAAACGCTAGTTTCCGGTACCATCGGCGCTTCCGTCTCGTAACAAGCTCGGCGAGTCGCGGAACAGCTTTAATTCGTTCGCTCCTCCACGCGCGATAACTTTTACTTGTTCGCGTTTACTCATTTCGGATTTGCGATCGACTGTAATCAAAAAGATAAAGCCTGAAAACGTTATTTCGTCAACTGTAGCTGCGGCAAAATAAAATCACGATTGCAAACGGAATTTTATCGTAAAATCGTAGGCGCCCTCGGCGACAAACAGCGTCTACCCGCGTTAATTTCGATAATTACACAACTTTTAGCGAAGCTTTTTTTACGAACGATAAATCGCACGCCACGCATAGCCGCGTGTGTTTTACAGTTATTCGGTAAAATTATTCGGAATAAACTGAGCGTGACGATAAGCTTTTACGTATAATCGCGTCGTCAATAGAAAATACAATGTACACGTTGCTCAATTGCGGACAATTTGCAACGTTTTTAAAGTAAGTACCCGCCGATTATCTCGACCGATAAATACCGAGAAACGGCAATGTCAATAAAAGCCGCACATTTCTTAACGTTGCGACGGTTTCCTCCGTTTCCTCTTTGTTTTCATTTCTAGCTTTACGGAATATATTTATTTTTCCGCAGATATAAATTAGCTTAAAGTTATATAATTATTTAGCAAATTTGTGTAAATGTGCTCCATTTGATTGTCGTACTTGTAACAACGTTCCTTTCAACGCCGATTGTTTCTTAACTCGCGCCGCATGTTTTCGTCATTAGAGCAAACCCTGTTATTTTATGAGTTTTCGCAAAGTTATTTACGAAACTCCGTCAATTACCGCCGCATTCGCCATTTGTCATCGCCACTTCTTTTGCCGTATATTTGAGAAAGTTGAGTTTAAATGCACCAGCGATACGAATGTCCAGTCACAGTCGATAGTGAGGGAGACACGGTGTGTCAATTTTCAGATCGTTATCATTCATTCTGCACTGAAAATTTCAACATAACGAATAATCCACTACGTTGCCAGTTTGCAATTTTCTAATCACTCCATTACGTTGTTGAAAGAAGCGATCAAGCTCTTTATGATATTCTAAGTTAAGAAACATTCACTGTTTGCCGAAACATAATAAACGTAAAACGAAAGAACATGATTACACCTATAAATATTAGAAGAAAAGCAATTTAATTAATACAATTTAAAATTAACTTTAATAAAATAAAATAAATAAAATAAGGGACTCAGAGCCAGAACGGGATAGTAGTGTTCAAATATCTTTAATAATAAATAGGTATGAACGTTTCGGTCCTTACTGGACCATCTTCAGTATAGTAAAGAACACAATTTAAACCATTATAAAACTAGGGATACAAATTAAAATGTAAAATAACATATACGTAGTCGGTTCGGTAAGATTAATTAATAAATGAAAAGACAGAACATATTAAAAGATAGCGCAGTCAAACGATTAAAAGTGTGATATACAATAAAACGTGGGTGTATAAAGCAAAAACCGCAATAAATTAAACGCATTGAGTAGTAAAAAAATACTGTAACAAAAAAATTAAACCTAATGAATTTATAAATTAGTGCCACGTAGGAAGAAAGAAAACGTATGTGCTTACCTACAGCCATGTTGGACTGTGTAGGTGAAGTGAAGTTATGACGAGTGACAAACATATGTCGAGTATAAAAATAAGTCAAAAGAGGAAGGGAAGGGATAAACATAGGGAGAAAGAGGAGTGGGTTGTAAGATTATTGTAAGGGAGAGAGAGAATTTAATATAGGAAAATATTCGTTGGCTAATAAGTCTGTGTCTAATAAGTTTGCTTGTTAATGGGAGCGGTTTGGCATTTGATATGTGCCATCTCCGATATCAATCTTTTATTGTAAGACGGTTCTTCGTCTAGAATACGGACATTGTCCCAGTCAAATCCATGGTTGGTGTCCATTCTGTGGGCAGATATGACAGAGGGGGACAATGTGTTTTTGTTAATATCAGAGTGATGCTCTTTTATTCTGGTTCTCAATTGTCTTTTCGTTTGACCAACTTATGTGGCCACACAATTCTTGCACGAGAACTTGTAAACCACATCATTATGTGCCAAATGATCGTGTTTATCTTTTGTATTTTTTTAAAGGATTATGGCAGGAATATGCAATTAAATTTTCTCTCTCCCTCACAATAATCTTACCACCCCCTCCTCTTTCTCCCTATGTTTCCCTTCCCTTCCTCTTTTGACTTATTTTTATACTCGACATATGTTTGTCACTCGTCATAACTTCACTTCACCTACACAGTCCAACATGGCTATAGGTAAGCACATACCTTTTCTTTCTTCCTACGAGGCACTAATTTATAAATTCATTAGGTTTAATTTTTTTTATTGACCGTATCTGGCAATTAAAATTCTTATTGCGAAAAATATTACTCCAACCAGGATTCGAACCTGGGACCTCCCTCAATCCGTGCGGGCGTCTTAACCAGCTCGACCACTGGAGCTGTAGGTAATATTGTTCGCAATAACATATATTAGTTAAGATGTTGTTTACGCGTCTATTTCGACTTTTTCGGAACAGTGCGTCGATACGGATTGTCGACCTACACTGAACTGTCGAAACGCGAATTTTTTTTTAAATTCTCTTTCCCCTGCCTTTATATCCCTAGTTTTATAATGTTTTAAATTGTTATTTACTATACTGAAGATGGTCCAGTAAGGACCGAAACGTTTATATATTTATTATTAAAGATATTTGAACACTACTATCCCGTTCTGGCTCTGAGCCCCTTGTTTCATTTATTTTATTTATCATACGAGCCATTGTTACTTAATTTAATAAAATATATAACGAATTAGAAAGGAATAAATGAATTGGGCGAAACTGTAAATAATTGTAAAATCACGCGAAATAGATTCCTCGCCGAAAGCTTTACGTCTCGCAGTAGCGAAGAGATCCTTGCCGTTCAGATAAATCCAAGCGGGGAACGCGCATAAGCACCTGATGTACGTAAGATTAAAGATACACGAATCGATTATCGCAAGGATTATCGGCGAGCGCGTGAGATCGAAGGATAAGGCGACAGGTGAAAAATTAACGGGATCGTTACGCGCAATATAAATCAGTCCGCTCATTCTCCTACTTCAGGGTCGCTGTGCGAACGAGCTCCCGACAGGATGGAGTCCACCTGAGGAAGGAGGCTCGACATCGGTCTGTGCGTTTATATATCGGTTCACGCGTTCCGTCCGAATTGCGCACTTGGCTTATCTCTTGGTCGATCCCTGGGCGGCCGCGCCATGTCCAAGTACAACGTCAACGAGGAGTGCGATATGGAAAATCGCAGGGAGGTCACACTGACCGGCTTCAGCAGCAACGCGCTCGACGACGTTCTTCGCAGCAATAATAACGAGCCGGACACGCTGAACAGTAATCCTAGCAGCGCTCATGCCATCACTAAAGATGCGAAGATTGTCAACCTGGAGGGTGAGTCGCTACGCGCTTCGTATTGTTGCACCGCTATTAAAATGTAATTGGACGTAGAAGAAGGCTAGCTTTAAAGTACGTTTTTCTGGCACATCCCGAGGGAACGTTCCATCATCGAAAAATATTAAGAGTAAAATTCCACGTTGAGACGTCGAGCTAAAACGGGAGACGACCGATCTCTCCGTGCATTCGCTCAGAAAAGCTGAGTACGAGACGCGCGGTATAAAATTCCGATCAAGCTCGCTCTCATGCATAATTGTAACGAAAGCATTTTGACCTAACGGTACGCTTTCCGCGAAAGCAAATCGCGAGTCCGTGAATTCACCGATGATTCGCGCGAAAATATTGCCGGTGCTCGATGCATGCAAAAGCGAGCGAGAAAATAATTGGCGTGTGATTCAACGACGGCGGTACCGCGCGTCGAGCGGAGATGCGGGACGGCGCGGAAACATCGAACAAAAATTTGCAAAAATAATCCATGCACCGTACGCCGACCTTCACTTTCACGGTTGAACAGTCGTTTTTTTTCCATAGCGTTTTATAATATTCGCAATCGGCGAAAAATTGTTTCAAGGCATGTTGCCTTCGTTCGCATCGCGCATGTGCATTTATGCACGCATATAACGACGTGGCAACTTTTTCGTTGTAAATCTCTTCTTTTTTTTTTAACAAACGTGACATCCCTCGACGTATTTTTGCAGGTCTTGCACCAGTACGCACTGAGTGCACACTAAGGCAGGTCATTTTACTGGCTACGAAATATTTCAAGAGATGTTCAAGACGATTCTTAAATATAGAAATTGACTGTAAGTAAGCCTTACTGTGCGCACTAGTGCAAGCAACCGAATTCGCTGTTACAGAAATTGAATATATCCCGCGACAATTGCTGTTCGACAAATACGCGAACAGCAATTGTTCGAGACAAATAACTGAAGTACCCAAGTGTGATTGATTGCAATAACAAAACTACTACATGTAGAAGTTATTCAGGGGAATATACAGAGGACGGTCCTCTATTATGAGATAGGTTTCTAATGTGAGATAGCAGGTTTCCAACACCCAAATTCAATCGCAAATCTTTTTCCACGATTACACGATCTAACAATGGATTTTCAACGTCACTGTTTTCTTGGACATACCTGGCATTTTTAATAATACAGAAAACTTATTGCGAAAAATATCACCTCAGCCAGGGTTTGAACCTGGACCACCCTGCACTCTCAGGCGAACGTCTCACCAATTCGACCACTGAGGCAAATGAGTTGTCCACTAAACAGATTTCGCTCCAAGGGCAATAAATTCATGGTGGAATCAACCGATGATGCCTATTAATTTAACGGAAACCCCGCCGTCCCATATTAGGATCCTGTCTCATAATAGGGGACTTTGCTCTGTTAGCGCTGTTTAAGAATTGGTCCCAGTACCTACTCGTACGTCGTGCGCACGCTGTCGCTTGGCTTCGATGTCAGCACGTCGCGCAAAAAGATAAATGTTTTGAAACACAACTGTTTTACGTTCGCATTGTAGAACGTAGCGCTCTATAAGCGCAACAATCGGGCGCTGTTACATCAACTCTTTTCAAAGCACGTTTCGATCGGTGCACAAAAACATTTTGCATCTACGATATCCCGGTCGCGAGTGTTACCGCGCTCTAAATAAGTCATTATTTTCTAATCTCCTTCGCGTATAGATCGCTATCGGCGCCCGTGCGATCGTTCGAGGCGATATCGAACCGCAGAAAAAAAACCCCCCGATGATGCTGATATTATAATATTTGAGGAGGTGCGAAATGCGAGACAACGTGTTCATTTTCGAAAACTCCCGTAATAACGCGGCAGATAATAATAATAGACCTTGATAGAATTTAAATATGCGAAAATCGAAATTTGATTCTGCCATTACTATGCTTCGCGTAATATTAACAGCAGAATCTACGTGGATAATGAGATGCAGTCTCATCGAATATACAACGAGCTGCAATTGAGTTGCGCGCAGATGCAATCTGTCGTTCGATTCTAATTTTGATGATAAAATACGATAATTAATTATTATAATACACTGCTGCGATGGTCTTTATAGATATTCGCGCTGTCCCACTCGTTGATTAGGTTTCACCACTGACGCATTTACACTTTGCGCGATACTCGCTGATACTGTTAATTGAAAATCAAGTGCCGTGCCGATAAATTGCCACGCTTACGTAAATCGCGAAATAATATCGCACGACGGATAATCGATCAAATAATAATATGAACGCGGGCGAAGGCAGATTTCATATCCTCGAATTTGGCACGTCACGATCTACGGAGATGCGACGCGAATTGAACACGCTGCGTTTCGCATTCTCGTTAAAATCACGTTAATTATTACACTTACTCCGTCCAGTTTTCGTTTCGCAGCTACAACGGGCTCTGTTGAGAACAAAAAGTGTAAAAAATATTGTTTTACTTTTATTTCCTATGTGTATGCACATATACATACATACTTCTCTGCGAAATATGTCTCTGAAGTAATTCGTCTATCACGAATTGCGATTTTATGTAAAATTTGAAATGAGAATACTATTCGTTAAATTCTTCCATGTCGTGCACCTCAAGCGTACTTTTCTAAAGCCGGTAACTTGAAGAGGCCAATGCAATCGCCATGTTGCTAAATAAACTTGGATCGCTCGATCGTGTGGTTATGCGCGCGACAAACGATTCGGGCACGACGCGCAAAGGATAATTTGTTTTGGCATCTTGTATAAGTATTCGACTTAGGTAGTTTCTTCCGCTAAAATTGAGAAGACGAATTCACGAAGCGATACTGATGAGAGGGCAAAAAAATAAGTTGCCGTTAATGCCTCCACGTAATGATAGTACAAAAAACTTGATGCAGGAAGTGTCATTACGTTCTAACGGGGTCATTTTCTTTCTTGGCGTATAATGTTTCTTAATTTATCACCTATTCGTGAGCGATTACTAAATGCCGACTCTTCACAAATATCTCGTGCCCATGCCATATTTTTCGTTATGAAATCTCCATAAGTCTTGTCAGCTCAAAAATATTTCGCCTAAAATGATACTCGAGTAATTATACTAATTTTTCACGAAACGTACATATTTGTACGAAACAAACGTACCAGAAGTCTAAATTTTTTAATTGCTGCGAAAAAATGTTGCCTCGCCGCATTTCCCCGTGAATGTATTCTCGCTATTAATACATGTGTTATTTAGATACGTTTCGCGTACATGTTTTTACCGTAATTTTTAGTACCGCAAGATTCTGGCAAAAGTGCTTTGTGTACCTCGGGAAGAAGGTGGGTCTACCGGCGGATCAGAAGGTCTTGCAGGAGGAAACTGCTATTCAAAAGAATACCGATCCTAGCGTGGTTGCCGAATTACCGAAAGGAATACGTGGTGAGCGATCTAGTGGCTGGCATCACCGTAGGCCTCACCGTAATTCCGCAAGCCATAGCGTACGCTAACGTCGCGGGATTACCGTTACAGGTATATACATATACGTACACATGCTGAAACACAAAATGACTTTAAATAGGAAACCTCAAAATACCCGAGAAATATTTTACCATTTCATTTTTAGAGCCGGTTTTTCCAACCTCTTGGTAAACAAACTAATACTTAAATTATGTGTCTATCTTTTTTAATTTAAAGATAAAACACAGACATATGATTTAACTGTTAGTTTACCAAGCGGTTGGAACAACCTGCCCTTAAAGAAACTTGTTTGAAGAAACTTACCATTCAAGAATAACGACTTGATTATAATAAAATAGTTGTGCATATTGTAAATCTCAGCCTCACACACACACGTACACACACGTCAGAAAATATTCGCTAATTTAAGAGCTAAATCAACCTTGAGTGTCATACAATAAACATGAATAAGCATATTTGAAACCGGCGCCTAGCCTGAAAATTTGTCATTGCATCAATCTTTTCTCTCTTTTTTTCTCTATTTTTTTTTATACGGACGTCACAACACGCAATTTTGAGATATTTAAAATATACAAACATTGAATCTGGTAGTTATTTGTATACAGAAAGCTGACCATATTGGACTAGTCATATACCGGGTGGAATATTATTATTTTATCTCAAATATTTTTCTTCTCTCTTTTTCTTGTTTCAGTTTAGAAAAATATTTCAAAGCAAGTCTCACTGTTTTACGAGAAAATATAATCCGTGCAATGCGAACATACGATTTTTATGAAATGTTATAATACCATTAATATTATTATAAAAAAATATTTTGTTTGGACAGTATGGACTCTATTCGTCTTTCATGGCCTGTTTCGTGTACACAATTTTCGGCTCTTGGAAAGATGTGCCTGTCGGACCAACCGCAATCGCCGCGATTCTAACAAGAGAAACTTTACAAAAGGCTCACTTAGGACCCGATTTCGCCGTATTGCTGTGTTTCGTCTCAGGCTGTGTCTCTTTATTAATGGGCATTTTGCAATTAGGTAACGTGGCGCTCAGGTAGCACAGAGAATCCAGAAAGAATTCTTCTTGAATTCCTGAATTATGAAATGAATTCTCTTCCCATTCCATTAAGGAATTCTCATACATAATCCATTTAATATGTAATGTACTTTTATTTTACATATTATTATTTGCTATTTATTTTTAACATATGACTCGCTTAAATTATTTTGTACTCTTCCGATATTAGGATTTTTACTGGATTTTATATCGGGACCAGTATCCGTTGGTTTCACTTCGGCGGCGTCGATTATCATCGCCACCAGTCAGGTGAAAGATATTCTTGGGTTGAAAGTTACCGGCACCAAGTTCGTACAGGTGTGGCAAAGTATCTTCGAGCATATCGGTGAGACGAGGCGTTGGGATACCGCTCTGGGAATTGCCTGTATAATCATTCTTCTACTTCTCCGGGTAAATACAACGCTACTGCATTCTGTTTAATTTAGCTCACCGTGTTTCGATAAACAGACAAGTGCATACACGATATAACCGGTTGTACCTCTCTCGATTATTCAGTACTACACATAACATTCTTATGTAATAAAATATATTCTTATTTATTAAAATATGTAACAAGAGAGAATAAAGAAATAAGCAGAATTTTTCATTTATTTAGAAAGTGAAGGATTTGCCAGTAATATCGAAAAATACTAAAGTACCATCGCGGCTTCAACAAGTTGTCACAAAGTCGTTCTGGCTAATCTCCACTGCCAGAAATATTATCATTGTGATCGTCTGCGCGGTGATGTGCTGGCTCCTCGAGAAGCATCTGGGAGAATCGCCCGTCATTTTAACGGGCCACGTAAAGCAAGGACTGCCGGAATTCCGTTTGCCACCTTTTGAAGCTCAGGTCGGGAACGAGACTTATCATTTCATCGACATGGTTTCCGCTCTGGGCACTGGCTGCCTAGTCGTCCCCATGCTAAGTCTGCTAGAAACCATCTCCATCGCTAAAGTATTCTGTGAGTGCTCAGTTGATCAAGAATAAATCTCATCTCGCTTCGAATCATTTTTTATTCAAACCAGGCAAATTGATGTCTAAAGTTACTGTGCTTTCCGCCCGCACAAAATTAAATCAACGTTGTATCCACAGCCGAGGGCAAGTCGATAGACGCGACTCAGGAAATGTTGGCGTTGGGTGCGTGCAATGTGGTATCGTCGTTTGTGTCATCGATGCCCGTGAGCGGTGGTCTTAGCCGAGGCGCAGTCAACCATTCGTCCGGGGTGAAGACGACGCTCGGCGGAGTCTACACCGGATTATTAGTGCTTATATCATTGCAGTTCCTCACACCCTATCTGTATTATATACCCAAGGCTGCCTTGGCAGCCGTCATCATTGCCGCGGTCGTCTTTATGGTGGAGTTCCAAGTGGTGAAGCCAATGTGGCGAAGCAAAAGTATGCATTCTCTTACTTAATATAACGAAAGAGCCAATTAGAATTTACAGACAGTTATAGGTAAATAAATGCGTATAATAATTTTAGAATGGAATCAAAGACTCTCCAAAAATAATTTTATATATCTCTTTCTTTCTTTGTCGTTTTATCTTTTCTTGACACGATCGTGTTACAAATTGCACCCCGTCATTTTCAGAAATTGATCTCATACCGGCCATAACTACGTTCCTGTGCTGTCTTTTCATACGACTCGAACTGGGTATTGTAATCGGCATCGGTATAAATCTTTTGTTCCTACTTTATGCCTCGGCCAGACCGACATTACGAATCCATAAAGCTACGGTAAGCATACTTTTCTACTTTACGTTTCTAGTCTTCCGCGATAGTTGTATTTTAAAAAATATACACAATGTATTTTTTTACAGAGTATTAGCGGTTGTGAATATCTTGTCATAACTCCGGATCGAAGTCTGGTGTTTCCAAGTGTTGAGTACGTACGAGCCGTCATTAGCAAACAGGGATTACGAGAGGGTACCTCCATGCCCGTCGTAATAGATTCCACGCATATCCAGGCGGCCGATTTCACTGCTGCAAAGGTGAATAAATATTATAAAAGAGAAATAAAGCTTGCTACATTAATTACACATATCTTACCTGTAATCGACTTGCCTTCCTTCAGGGTATTAAGTCTTTGATAGAGGATTTTACTAAACGGGGCCAGCCATTAATCTTCCACAACTTGAAACCGAGCGTTATCGAGATCTTCAAAGGCGTGAAACCTTCGCGGCTCACGTGCAGTTCCAGCGAACTCGAACTCAACGACCATCTTAAAGGTAAGTCGATTTTTGTAGTGGCCCTTCTCTGGGTGTACAATATTTTCTAAATCTCACCTTTTTATTTTAGAATACACGAACGTTTCAACCGAGACTCTTAATCGATATTAAATATCTGTATAGATACAATATTTTTCCTGTCTTTGGGCGCAGTATTATAGCGAAAATATTGCGGCATTTTCGTAAAGGCACAGTATTGCTGCGAAGCAAAAATGCTACTTTCACATTTAGCTAATTTAATATTTTGTATATATGTAAGTATATTATATTTATGAGCACAAGCCATTATATTTAGCGTGCGTCTTGTAAATCCGCGCTATATACAGTATAATATTTTTGTACTTATGAACGGCGAAAATCCATACATACTCCGATACAAATGTATATTTCGAATTTCTCTATCTCTTCGAATTAAATAGTCACGCAGAGTGGTCTGCATTATCGGTAATACAATTCAGAAAACGTGGCGATTCTGTATATATATTAAAAATTGGAGGGAGAAAACTAAATAACATTTTTTCGCAATTAATCGTTTTAACGGCTTGGATTTTAATCTCTGACGACTTTTACTTTGATTTTAATACTCAGATTATTCAGCTCAACATTTGTATACTCTACTTTTACTTGTTAATAATTCTTTTAACCAATATTGAGCGACAGCTACAGCCTTGTTCTATAAATTTTGCGGTTGAAAAATCATTTTTGTTTGTAATACTAGTAATAGACCATCTCTCATCGTATATTAAAATAAATACGCAAATTATGTTTTACACGCATTGTAAATAACTCCACTGTAAATATATCAGGATTTTACTCGTGCCACTCAAAAATTTGCACTCAACAAACACGAGTAAACATGATATATATGCATCTTGAAGAATCAATTATGTATTTCAAAGTATCGTACAATTGTTAATATTCTGTATAAAGTACAACAATGTAAAGTTTGTACATTTAAGAAATCAATATTAACGCTAGTTGACATCGATTTCTCGAGCACCTCCGGACGGAGTCGCTATGTAGAATTCAGGTGTGCCGGAATATCTGTAAATAAAAATATTTTAACAGCATTTATATAAAACGTAACGTAGCTTAATACAGGCGGAAAAGATACTAACTTTGCTCTTATATGTTGGACCGCCTTGTCCACTGTGTCCTTTCTCAGTAAAGTTACCGTGCAACCGCCGAAGCCTGCGCCCGTCAAACGGCTTCCTAATACGCCGTCTACTTCTCTGGCCGCCGAGACCAGTGCATCTAGCTCCTTGGACGAGACCTCGTAATCGTCGCGCAATGAATCGTGACTTTCATTCATTAATCGTCCAAATTGCTGAAAGTCACCTTTCTCAAGCGCCGTCGCAGCGGCCAGAGTTCGTTGAATTTCCGTGACCACGTGACGAGCTCTTTTCACAATGCGATCCGACGCATTTCGCGATATTAAGGCTAAAAACATGTTGGTCTATTGTGTATCAAGAAAACACAAGTGTGATTATTCGCTTAATCAAATCAAAATTTCCGATGAAAAATATTACAAAATTAAAGAGTACACACATAAAGTGATCTGTCGTTACCTAGAATATCGCTCATACTCGCATCTCTCAAACTCTCCTTGCCCAGCATTTTCGCGGCTTCGTAACAAGAATCTCTGCGCTCGCAATAGGCGCTCGAGCTCAATTTGTGCGGTGCGTTCGAATTCGTTATGAGGAAAACATAGTTATCTATGTGCAGCATGGGTATTTGCTTAGCGACAAGATCGCGACAATCGAGCAAAAGGGCGCAGCCTTCTTCACCCATCGCTGAGATAAACTGGTCCATTATACCGCACGGCACACCAGCGAAATCGTGCTCTGCCTTTTGGCATGCTAAAGCCTATGTATAATATGTAAATGCATACATATATGTATATACTTATAAATGTCACATTATATTATGTTGTTACTGTTATAGACAATAAGTTATATGATCGCCGAAAGATCGTAATTACTTTCTGCTCTGGTTTCTCCGGCTTTTTGCCGCTCAAAGTCTCCAAGAAGGTGTAGGTGGCTACTTCTAGAGCCGCAGAACTACTAAGTCCGGCGCCTGCTGGCACAGTCGACACAATTACGGCATCAAACGCAGGTACTTCACCTAAAATTGGTCGATTATGTGGCGCAAGGTGTCCCAAGACTACTGCGATCGCGCTCGGGATTAAACTCAACTTTCTTAATAAATATTTTCTAACGAGGATTTAATTAGGCTGCCGCTCCTCTCTTTAATCTCGAGCTCCCGAATCAATTATGTGCGACGTTTGAAGTCGCAAATGACTTACAAATAAAATTAGCGATGCATCCTTTTATATAGTTGGCCCATTTTGGCTCCCCTGGTTTTATATCAGCTCGACTCTTCGCTTCGAATTGGAATTCGTTTATAGCGCCGACTACGTCGTTCAAGGAAAGAATTCTGGTCTTTTTACCGTCGTGAGACTTGCCGGCAATTACCGTGACCATCGGTAGCGCCTATTAATTATTTCGAATTTATTAATTAAATGTTTCGTTGAATAGGTCGCCGTTTTACTGTCAATTTTCACTAACGTCGTTTAACTTTGATCCTACACCATTAGTTTAAATTATCTTTGGTCTTTTTCTAAGAGGACAGTATAGAAAGAAACACAGGATGAATTAAACTAAGATCAAAGTTACGCGACGTTTGTGAAAAGGGCCATAAATGGAAAAATTTTTCTCGGAATTGTTCATAATTTGTATGTAAAGAATCGCGCTAATCATATGGAAAATCTATCCCGGTAAAACCACTGAAGAAGCTAACGTGTCTCGATTGGTGACAAAAACAAGGTGGATAATTGAAACTAGAAATGGTCATATCAAGTTTATGTTCAAGCTTCTTCTATTCTTCTAGAATTTCCTATGCGTGTGAATTCTGAAATATTCCGAAATTTCTTATTCCATAATTTCAAACATTCACATCTCATAACATTTATATATATATAAACAATTGTAAGAAAAGAAATGGACTTTCGCAGTATTATTGAAAAGTGTACCAATTCGTACAAGAATTCTGAGGAAACTTTTCACCAGGGTTATCACGTGGACCATTGACGTTGCAACTGCGATAACGATAACACATATTAAACGACCGACGCATAATTAATCGCGCTTGCCACAAATTGAAATTAGTTTCGGCTTCCGTTTAGATTTACCTGCATCACGTGCGTTTCTCGCGTTCTCATGCACTTGGAACATTTCGTTGGAGAGGAAGGACACAACGGAAAAAGAATACAGGGAAAAACTCGAGGAAACTCTGTACTCGGGATCTATCTCGCGTTGCGTTTTTTCGTAAGTTTTCACACTTGGCACGAAATGAAACAAGAAAATACGTGCGATTTGCGAAGGCGAGTGGAGGAGAGTTGCGGGGGAGACGTGGATTTTTTGGCGCGGTGCAAAGAGACTCACCATCGGCAGTACGAAGCCCTCGTTGTAATCCGTGTGCTCGCCGATGAGATTAACGCGTCCCGGCGCGTACACGCAAACGGCGGCCCGCTCGCCGAATTTCTCGGCGAAGGCCCGCAACGCCTTCGCCTTGACGCTGCTGACGTCGGGGAGCGGCGCCGCCATGCCGAAATATCGTCCGGATTTCACCGCAGAGGCGCACGACGACGGAAGCGGAGATTAAGCGGCGTGACAACCCGCGTCGCGATCAACAGTCACGACGATACTGATGCTAATTGAGATCTTGCGTCATTAGCGGACAGGAGCGACGTCGTTATCGGCGCAACCTTTGGCTACCTCGACGTAGAAACTCGGGTTCAACGTTATATATACGTATAGGCCACGGTGCTCCTTGCCTGCAAGTGAAATTACAAATTATATTGTTACACGCTCTCGAAACTTTTAGCGAAATTGTGTACGCGGAGAGAATTTTCTCTCAATCCCGAAAGTATTGTAATCGTGAGACAACACGGCATTTCAAAGATTTTTTATGAGAGTCTTTTGAAATTTCACCATACATTTCACTAGTAATTGTGTACTTGCAATTAGTGTGTGGTAAAATTTCGAACAACTCATCAAGTTGTTCAAATTGTGCCACGTTGTCCCGCGATTACACGATCTTCAGGATAAATTTTGAGAGGAACTTCTCACCGTGTAGAATTCAATATTCAATTCACGTTCCGCCTGGTGTCACAAGTGTACACAAACGCGATAAAAATTTACAAGTGTTAAAAATATTAAAGTGTCTATTTGAGTATCAAAAAATAATAATTTGTTCAAGATTGCTTTAACGTTGCAGCGACATCAAGAATCGGTGTACGAACATTAACCGAGATTTACCTTCGAGAAGATATTTATACTTGAGCATTCAACATTACATTTCAGCGACATCATTTTAGCTCTTTCTGTGCCGTGTGGGATAGCAAAGTGACATTAGATTTCCAGCGAGCGCGATCCAGAGACCCAGAGAGCCGCGCCGACTTTACTACCCCTACTACTACCGCCACATGCCCACACATATCCCCCATTAACGTGTCGCCAGCGCGGAGCACGATATGCAGGCAGGTGCAGGTGCGCGCCAGCTGACGAGGCTCGGCTGAGAGACGCGAGTGTCGCGGCGATAAACTGATTTGCCACGAGGACGTGCTATGGACGCGCCGCGGTCGATTTAACGCCAATATTCCGCGAGAGAATGTGCCATGTCGGTCTCGGATCCTCTCATCAAAGAGCTGAAAGGTAATCTCGCGTTCGAGCGGGTCAGGTTAGACGGGACGCAACGCCAGGGGCTCGGCTCCCTTTCATGTCATCGTCAATGCGCGAGTTCTCTTTTCAAACCCTAATCGGGTATCTGTGCGTCGTCGGTTTCGCTCATTGTCGCAGTCATTTATCACTTGTATTCTTTCGAAAACTTTAACCCTCGATAAACATTGCTTCGAATACGCTCGGATGGGAGTGCGAGTGTGCGTGCGCGAGCGAGAAGTGTTGCATTTTTAAAGCGATTTAAAAGATCTGTCGCATTAATACAATGCAATTCTAAGGACATTGTAAATGACAGGCCATTATCATATGTCGATAATGTCAAGTCGCATTTTCATGTACATTTTCCAAGGAACAAAATCTTGCTCCGCCACCAGGTTTTTAAGAGAGAATACGTATTTCTTCGTCGTGGCTATTTTCTCGCTAGTCGTAGCGATGAATTTTTTAACCTTGCCTTGTATAGAAGTGTGTCTTGACGAAATCAACGTGCTCGTGTAAAACTTTGGTACTGATACACCCTTGTTGCAGGATGGACTCGAAAGCTGATAGACCACGCTAAGGAAATCACTGATGAAAATGAGGATCTGTGCCACTTTTGCAAGTGCTTAGAAAATTGCTTGCAAAAGGGTCTACTGCCTTCTCTCGATAGCGTCGGATACCTCAAGGTACCTTACACGTGGACCTGGCTAGAATATGTAGGCGAGAAGAATTACAGGTTAGCGACTGTCTTATTCTCTCTTCAGCATCTCTAATATAAAGCCTGCGATCTAACGTTTGACTTCCAGTGGTTACAATACGTTCCTTTTGGCAGTCGAGCAAGCGAAGCAAAATGCAAAGGTGCGCACATCTGCTGGGCGACTTCGTCTCCTGATAAGGATATGTCTCGCACGAAGGTGCCTTCACATGCCGGTGGAAATATTGGTGAGACATGCCAAATGTGCTCGACGCGCACGCACCTATTAGTTAGTTGCAGAAATGCATAATTGTATCTTCAGTCCAGAATACCAACTTTAGCTACCGAGTTTTACAACTTAAAGAGCATCCTGGGAGATGATATTCTACGGGAGATACTGCTGTCCGTGCTGTTGCAGTGTAGTAAATTCAACTTTAAACTGAATTTGAGAAATGCAGCTTTCTTGGACGACACCTGGCAGATGCCCAAATGTGTAGCTTTGGAACTAGTACCTTGCAAAAGTCTGGGCATATCTGTATGGTAGGTGCTTGTTGCGATGAGAAAAGAAGGGACTGTAGCAAAATCATGTATTCGCTGCTATTGCAGTTTCACCAACGACAAGGCATTAGTTGTCAACGTCAACGAGAAGTCGGTAGCTGCTGAAGACGTAAGAAAAAGATCTCTGACAATCTATTTGATTTTTTTCCAATTGTAGAAATGCTTTAAACTTGGTGTTATTTACATGCTGCGTGTAAATCAGAATAAAGTCGAGATTGGAGATGTACTGGATGAGATAAACGAGCATGTCATCAATGGCGACAGTAAGGGGAAGCTACGTAAAATTATGAGAAAAGCTAGTGGGCAACCAATAATGCTACATATCATTAAGGTATAGCAAATGGCGATTAAGCAAACTATATGTATACGCCAGTATATGATGATTGTGTATTTTCAGCTTTATACCAAAAAATCCTGTGAGCTTTATGAACCAATAGTGCATCTTATAAAAAAGTCTGGCATTGAGAGTATGAAGTCCTTAATACAAGTGTCGCGATTAGACCGAGTGGAAGAAGCCACTAAAAAAAGTCAGACGTCTAAACCGGGGCGCAAAGCGTTAAACAGCGGATTCTTCGTGAAATACTGCGGCTCTGTGCACGTCGGTGCTGAGGGAGACGTTAAGCAAATTGAGAAAGCCATTTGGCGTTTGTTGAGGTCTGGCGAAGCAAAGAAAGTGCCTGTGCGATTTGAATGCTTAGAAATTGGAATCGTGGTAACTCGAGAGGTGGACAATCAGGTGAATGAATCACAGATTTAAGAGAATTATTGGAAGTTGCAAGTAACTTCTGTTTCAACTATTCGAAATGATTTAGGAAGTAAATGTACATGCGGTAAATTGAACGAAACAACTTATATCCGTATTCATAGTCGTTCCTCAATTCTCAAGGGTAGTTTGTCTTTGTCTCGCGTATGGTAAAACGTAGTAGCGAGACAAAGACAGACTAACCTTGAGAATTGAGGAACGACTATGAATACGGATATTACTTATTTTTGTCAGACAATATGCAAGCGAAGCTATATGGAAATCTCATCGTGTGGACGTACTGTCAATATCCCAGATTATTTCGCATTCATCGGAGGGTGAGCTCTCTATCGAATTGATATTAGCATAGAACGTACGTTTTAAAGGCATAACTTGTGTTATTTACTACCATTTTCAGAGAAACCAATTGTAACGTGGCAACAAAATTTGATGCTTACATCTTCCATCACCGAAATGAAATCGAGGTCCAACAAATATTACAGAGTCTGGGACAAGGGTTTCAACGTACTCATTTTGCAGTATAAGCACATATGTACATACACATGTATATACATATGTATGTATATATGGATTTAGTGAACCATACAGAAAAAGAGGAATATCTCAACCTATGTATAACTTCCTTACATTATTTATTAATACTTTTCCTCAAACTGCGAGACCAAAGAACTCAATAAAATCACCAATTATCCATATTACGAGTAATAATTTCACTCGACAGCAATTATAATAATTTTGCTAACGCCTTACATCTCTTTTATATGCTTTCTGTACTCATCTTATTACATAGTTGTTATTAATATTGTTTCCGTTAATGGCATTCATATTGTCGCTTTAATTTAATTGTTTCCAAGAGATTCGGAGACTTAAATGTTATTTCTTTAAAATGGAAATGTGATATTTAAAAACGTACAATCAAATCATTTTTATTTTACGTGTCATTAATATTTAGCAATTTCACAATTGACAATTACTTGATACTACAGTAGAGATCAGAACTTTTTCCAGATATTTCTTTTTATATTTTTCTTGCATGTGTACATACCAATATTGTATATCGCATTTTTCAATCAATTGCAGTAGGAGCAATAACGAATAATGGTTGATCAAATTGCGGCTCGATAATTCCTCGTTGCTGTGCTATCGGAGAGAAACTTAAGAGTGGACACGTCTGCGTTTTAAGTGAAACTCGTCCATCAGCGTCACAAAATGTGTATCTTGAACTACGTAGTCACGTTTGTGAATATTTTCAACGGGTAACACGTCTCGTACACGAATATTTCCAATGGGTAACACGCCACGTCCACGAATGTTGCCGGTGGATAACACATCTCGTACACGGACGTCGAGTTTATCTCACAGCATCCCGAGAGGGATAAATGTACTCGTTACAGAGCACTCGAGCGCGAAATATTTAGCGCATTATAAAATCATTTTTCAGGCGTCGTTTACATCTAAGAAAACGATTTACGTCTGAAACCTTCTCTTCCAACTCTCATGTTCCTTCAAATATATTTCATGCAATTGCGTATAATCAGTCGAATGCAATGATCACGTGGAATTTTCTACGACGCGTTATTACATATGTCTGGAAAAATAGTTAAGCAGCTTTATTTCTTGACATATTTTGCCAGCTGCAAAGGATTAACTTACATGATATAATTAAAACCGTACTCGGTGAGAAATGGTTCGTCGAAACGATATCGAATCGATTAATTATATCATGACGTCGATATCATTTCTCGCTGGATACTAATATACAGGTTGTTCCAGGAGGAGAGGAGAAAAATCACCTCCCAGAATATTGACCTTTCCTCCTGGAATACCCTGTATAGAGGAAAGTCCTCTATTATAAGATTAGGTTTCTAATATGAAATAGCAGGTTTTCAACACCCAAATTCGATCACGAAACATTTTGCGCATTACACAATCTAACAACGAGTTTTCCACTAAACAGATTTCGCTCTAAGGGCAATAAATTCATGGTGGAATCAACTGATGATGCATATTAATTTAACAGAAACCCCGCTGTCCCATATTAGGATCCTATTTCATAATTTGCAGCATCAAGTGAACCGCAGGCATGACAATATAATTGAATCGTTTTTGTTAATCAGCGCTTCTCATTACCTATTCCAATCTAGCAGATCGTAGATCATGTTTCGAACTAGACATAACTCAGGACAATCTTCTAGCTACTAATTACTCGTTAGAGGAAAATCGCCCGTGACTCGGACGACAATTTATGTAGGAGACACGCTCGGCGTTATTCGCGAGTACTGATTCCGCGAATACTGGTGAGCCCAAGAGCGAGAGGTAAGATTACGAGTGGCATTGTACACGAGCCAGGGCAACGTGTATTGGTGTATTACAGTACTTGCGTGGCTTAAAACCAGCAATTTTAATTGCAGCTAGTTAAGGATACTCGGCTTCCGAGAGAGACTAAACCAACAGCGGATCAGAGCGAGCCTCTAATAACTATCTTACATGAGCGAAATAACCGAACACTCTGTGTCTCGCGTGGCAAACTCATGAATTAATTCCTCCTGGATTAGGCCTTCCTTCCGCCCCATCCTATCTGCCTGAGACACGTGTGATTAGAATCGATTCGGCGTGTAACGACTATTTACTTAGTATTTACGTAAGGAACGGTCCACCAAGGGTAAGTGCAAGCTATAAAAGATGTATCCAGCCGAATAAAATATTCAGTTTCGCGCGGGATGCCTAACGACGCCGATAAAATTATGGGTAGATCGAGTCTCTACTTGCTGGCCATTCTGGCAGCCGCTTTGGCGACCGTCATCGCCGAGGAGATGTACTCGGACATGTTCGATCACATCGATCCCGACGATATCCTGCCGAACGACGAGCTGCGGAATCAGTACTACAAATGCTTCATGGACACCGGCCCGTGCGTGACGGAAGATCAGAAATACTTCAGACGTATGATATTTTATTATCTCGCGTCATAAATTCGGATAAGCGCGATAGACGTGGTTTTATTAAAAATAAATGTGCCACTAATACTCGAGTAATATTTCTCAATCTGTACAAAATACAGAAAAGCGCAAGATATTTCCCAAGGTAGAAAAATAGAATATTTACTGCGCCTAAAATCAGACATTTGACTTATAGTCTTTTCACGTATGAGAATACTTTTTAAAACGTATACCGGACAAAAATGATTTCGAATAGGTGTATCAACGTTATCGCGCCGTAACGAAATAAGGTTCGCGCTGGTAACGAATCGCTGTTCGCACGATTTTCAAACGTCGACCGAAATATTCTAGATTAAACATTTCGCAGAGCATGCGTCGACCGAAATACTCTAGATGAAACATTTCGCAGAGCATGCCGCTGAAGCGTTCGTCACGAAATGCCGGAGGTGCACGGAGAAGCAGAAGCAGAACGTGGAGAAGATAGTCGTGTGGTACACCGAGAACCGACCCGAGGAGTGGCAAGCCATGATAGGGAAGCTCTTGGAGGACGCGAAGAAGCTCAACATTACACCCGCTGCCTGATGTTGCCAAACAAGCGCATTTGGCACCGTCATGTATACTTAATTGTGAAATAACAAATAACGATCTTTGTGCGTCCATAGTAGTTTTCCAAGATGTAGCTGCAATATACGTAGGCGAGAGGGAGATTTAGCGGTGTTGCATGTACAATTGTAACTGACAATAAAAGCCGTTTCGTGACGGGGCCGAAAAGTGTGTATGTACGCGCGTACGTGTGTACCCTCTCGACGAGCGCACCGGCAATCCGATTGTAAATCACGGGCGGTATTTACCGCGTATCTCTGTGGCGCGCGGGATCGAAAGGAGGAAAAGAGCAGCGGCAAGGCGAGTTTGTCACGCGTTTCGTCTTTATCCTCGTTGCCGTCGTTTGGCATCGGCCTCACGCATGCGTCGCGAAATGTATTTCATCGTTGCAGAGCGCACGTTTTATAGCGGGCGGAGGGGTGGATACTCGCTCGATGTCACAAGGCGCGCCGGCGAAGTCGTTTCTGTTAGTCGCGGGATAATGCTCAGGGAGGAGGCGCTCGTTCTCACTCGTCGTCGACTCGTATTGTTCTGACCAGAGTGTGTTCCGCCGCCGAATCCGTTATGAGCCATCCGTTACCAGCGAGGCGATCGATACGAGGGGTGACTGCCACGGCCTGCGAGGGTGACTGCAGCGTGACGTGTATGTCATATCGAGTTCCGACGATTCTTCCTTCTCCCCGTAAACCGACGAAAGAATCCTCCCTTATGGGGGGGTACCGGTGTGTCGCCGCGAGATAACGGTAGCCCGATATAATGTAATAACCCGTCGGCTGAGAGCGAGAGATAGTTGATCGCGGTAACAAGCCGGCAGTCAACCCGACGAATCCGCCGGTGGTGAGATACACGCCTACCCTGAGTGCGCGCGGGCTTCTCAGATCTACAACGAGTCGCCAATCGGAAGTCTACCACCATATACCGGTCCCTTTTCTTTCACTCGCAATCGGGAAAGGAAAAGGACCGACGACTGACGACTTACGACTCATTGTAGCCCGGGGCCTCACACGTGCGTAACACGCGAGTATCTTCTTGACACTGCAGCGTGACACGGCACCTTATTCCAATGCGACAATTTTCACACTGCAGTGCCGGATCACAATTCGCGTACGCGGCACGCGCTCTCGTACCGAAAGAATTGGAATGCGACCGAATATTTCTTCCGTTCGCGAGCACCGTTAACCGATTTCATTTCTCCGCCGCGTTACGTATACTAATTTTGCGCGTTAAATAAGGTAACGACAACGCGCCGCGCTTGTGTTGAATCGTGGTGACTCGAGGAGATACTTGACACGGGAAAATAAACGTTTGTGCGAGGATAAATAGGAGGAACGAGCGAGGGGTCGTAAAGCAGGTATTTGCGCCCCGCGGTGCAGTGCTACGGGATATTTTGAAAAGACTCCGCGATTCAATGAGATCTACCTTTAACGAGAACTCGATCTACTAGATAATAGATTTGGAAAATCAGTGGTCTCGCTCGAAACAAATTAACATAATCGCTCGTGCTCTCTCGCATAAATTGAGGGAACCTTGATAGAATGTATCGCGTGATGTATTATGACAAACTGCGTTTGATCGCCTGCCAGTCATATATATTGTATATAATGATCTTGAATCGTTGCTCTTAATAAGGCTTCGCATCGCGAGAAACGAGATCGTTTAAATGCGACGGGCGATTTCATTAGACGGCCGTCGCACGACACTTGCGTTATACATGGTTTTTTATACTTTGCATTACAAGTAGAAGCCAAGGAAAAATGAAAAGTCGAAATATGACATAAAGATGAATATGCCATCAAATTGATATCGACTTGACTTTTAATTTTCCTTGGGTGTATACTGTACGCAGCAGAGTTACCCAGTGGGAAATGACTCGTCGAAATGATGTCGAATCGACGTCAATTCGCCGGTGTCGATGTCGATTCGACGTCGATCGACGAGTCATTTCTCACTGGGTATTTTACCCCACGTCTTTGAATATTGTAGCCGGATTCCTTATTGAACCAATACGGAGTTTTGCGAACAAATAACTCGAGAAAAA